GGTTGCAATAGTACACTGACAGAGAACTGCCAGAAATTTAAGCTGGATTCAGAAGAGGATGTGGAACTAGGGATATCATTGCTGATGTCAGATGGATCTTGACTGAAAGCAGAGAATACCAGAAAGATATTTATTTGTGATTTATTGACTGTGCAAAAGCTTTAGACTTTGTGGATCATGACCAACTATAGATAACATTGTGAAGAATGGGTAGTCCAGAATACTTAATTGTGCTCATGAGGAACCAATACATGAACCAAGAGACAGTCATTAGAACATAGCAAGGGGATACTGAATGGTTTAAAATCAGGAAACGTGTGCACTAGGGTTATATTATCTCACCATATTAATTCAATCTGTATGCTGAGCAAATAATCTGAGAAACTGGATTATATGAAGAATAATGTGGCATCAGGATAGGAGGAAGACTCTCTGACAACCTGTGATATATGGATTACATGATCCTGCTTTTTGAAAACAAAGAGGACTTTAAATACTGATGAAGATCAAAGACTACAGCCTTTAGTATGGATTACGCCTCAATGTAAAAGATACAGAAATCCTCATAACTGGACTAATAAAATAAATATATGATAAATAGAGAAAAGTTTGAAGTCAAAGACTTCATTTTGCTTGGATCAACACTCATGGAAGCCTTGTGAAAAAATCAAATGAAATCTGCTGCCCCAAACCTCTTTAAAGTATTAAAGAGCAAAGGTATCAGTTTGAGGACTAAGGTGCACCTGATGCAATGCATGATCTTTTCCATAGCTTCATATACATGTGACTGTTGGACAATAACAAGTAAGGAAGACCGAAGAAGAACTGATGCATTTGAATTATGGTGTTGGAGAAGAATATTAAAATACCATGGACAGCCAGAACAAAAACCAAATTTGTGTTGGAAGAAGTTCAGCCAGAATGCACCTTAAAAATCAGAATAGCGAGATTTCGTCTCATATTTTGGACATGTTATCAGAAGGGACTAGTCCCTGGAGAAGAACATCATGCTTGGTAAAGTGGAGGGTCAGTGACAAAGAGGAAGACCTCTAACAAGATGGATTGGCACAGTGGCAGCACGGGTAACAACAATTGTGAGGAGGGCACTGGACTGAGCAGGGTTTCATTCTGTTGTGAACAGGGTCACTATGAACTGACGGGATGACACCTAATAACAACAACAGTATCTTTTTTGGTAAGTGTTAGGCTGCTAACCACAAAGTCAGCAGTTCAAAGTCTGTCTTCTACTCCTGTAAAGACTTACCGTCTCACTCATAGTGTTGGGTCACTATGAGTCACAGTTGACTTGATGGCAGTGAGGTTGTTGTTGTTTAAGGAGTCTTGGTGGCACAGTGGATTAAGTGTTGGGTTGTTAACCTACAGGTTAAGAGTCACTATGAGAGGGGTTTTGTTTTTTAAATACCTTGGTTATTAGCATATAAAGAATACTATCAAACATTCTGCCCTGCACAATAGACAATAAAAAACAAAACTTGCTAGATATAGGAATTAAGACTTTTCATGTTAGATAAATATTGGTATTTCCAGTGTTTTTGGCATTTGCTATGTTTGTTTCATATTAAATTATTACTCATGTTGTTGTTATTGGTAAGTGCCTTCAAGTCAGTTCTGACTTATAGCAACCCCGTATAGGATTTCAAAGAGCGACTGGTGAGTTTGAACCACAGATCTTGTGTTTCAAACCAACCTTGCTTGTGGTTCAGTGCTTTATTCCATAGCACCACGCCATGGCTAGAACTCTTGCTACATGCTCTCAATAGGCAACTGAATCTAACATGAACACTTACTTAGCAAGCATTAGGAGTATTCATAAATATGTGGCTCTATAGGATAAGCACTCAATCTCAAGGTCAGTTTGAATCTCAAGGTTGGTGGTTCAAACTCCCCAGCCACTCCTTGGAAATCCTATACAGGGTCACTAAGAATCGGAACTGACTTGGTGGCGCTTAACAACAACAAGTGTTAGACTCCACAGCCCACTTCTACTTCTTGTTTATTAGAAAGAAACGGTATATTCCCAAGAAACTTGCTGAGGAATTTCAATTACATGGGAGGAAAATACAGGAAATAGATGTCAACAAAAAGTGTTGAAGTGGTAAGGGCCTCTTAGCTTAAACAACTTTGCCAGTGAGTATCCTTGTGACCCTGTGTAAACTTTATTTCCAGTTGGCACACTTTCATGCACTGGAAGTATAGGTATCAGTTTCATTTCGTGCCTTGCCAGTTCCCTTTCACTGCAGCACTTGCTTTTCCTTGTGTCCTCTCTGCTTTACATCTATGAGCCTTTGCTTTGGATAACTGATGCCCCTGCTTTGTTGATGCCCTAAGCACATGCTTACTTTGCTTGTTGTTTAATCCATCCTTGCCCTAGGGATCTATGTGCTCCATCTTCCTGGTCCCACCCCTGCAAGGATTCCATGTATCTTATTTGCATCAGAAAAATTGTCCAATCCCTTGGTGAGTCATAACACCTTATTTGCATAGTCCTACCCAATCATTTTGTGGGAGTCACAGACTATGACTATGAAAGTCATATATAATGGTAATTCACTGCACTGCGGGTGCCAACATCCAAATATAATTAGGAAAAAAACCTCTGATCTACAATATAGTCCTGAGAAAGTGTTATAGATGACAAAGCAAAATAAAACAGTATGCTGCTACAAAATTTTAGGTGATTACTAATCCTATGCATTTAGGAATAAAGTTTTAAAACCTGGTCATGAAAATGATGGAAAACAAGAGACCTTTCAAGCTTTCTTCCTTGCTAGCTTGAATAATTTAATTTGATTTTTTAATATGAGAAGGAATCAACGACTGCTATTAGTTCCTCCATTGTGGGTGAAAGCTAAGTCAGTTTGAATACTTCTGGTAGTAAATTGCTAGGTAGAGAAACACCATTAAGAACTAATATATAAAGTTCTGGGCTTTTTGTAAAAGAAATCTTAGGTAGTTTTCAATTTAGGAAACTCATATAGGGCTTCATATAAATCAGCTGCTTGAAACTCACAAACTATGTGCACCTGACCCAGGCAAAAACAAATACAAAGTGGTAAAGAGTCCTGGTGTAGCACTGTAGGATAAGCGTTGGACTGCTAACCAAGAGGTTAATGGTTCAAATCCCCTGGCCAGTTACTTGGAAACCCTATACAGGGTCACTGTGAGTCAGAACTGACTTGACGGCACTCAACAACAACAACAAGGCATAAATGGAACCCTGGTAGTGTAGTGGGTTATAAGTTGGGCTGCTAACATAAAAGTCAGCAGTTCAAATACACAGAAGAAAATTAGTCTCTCTGCTTCTGTAAATAGAAACAGCCACAGAAACCCTATACAGGGTCTCTATGAGGTGGAACTGATGGGATGGCACACAACTACCACCACCACCACCAAGGCATAAATGGGATCCTGGTGTGGCGCTGCAGGATAAACTCCTTGGAAATGCTATACGGGGTTGGTATGAGTCAGAACCGACTGTACGACACTTAACTAGGCATAAATAGTTCTACCAAACTGGTATATGTAAATAAATAAGCACGCAATTTTAAACCAAATAGAATTTTTAATCAAGTAACTTAGCCATCTAATTAGGTCAATACCCAACTGCTGGCTAGGAAGTTGTTTAAAAGGTAGAGTAACTACAGTAAATGACTTCTCTTTTGCAAACCTCCCCGTTGTTGTGCCGGCATCTACCCGCAGCCCTACGTAAAGTGTACCCCTAGATGCCTTGCCCTTTAGGTTGTTGTTGTCAAGTGCGTGAATCGATTCTGACTCACAGCAGCCCTTTATAGGGTTTCTGAGGAGCGACTGGTGAGTTTGAACCGCTGACCTTGAGGTCCAGTGCTTATCCTACAGGGCTACACCAGATCTCCCACCCTTTAGGGGGGTGAGGGAATTACTGAGACTGGGAAGTATTTGCAAACTCCTTAGAGAAATTCCAAAGGAATCAAATCAGATGGTTTTTTAAACTCCTCAGGTGATTTTCAATGTGAGCGATGTTTGAGACTCTATCTTGGGTTAATGGATCTCCTTTCAGCGCCCCTCAGAATCATCTGGAGAGCATAGGTGCTGGGCTGATCTTTAGAGTTTCTCATGTATAAGATTTGGAGTGGGTCTGATAATTTGCATTTTTCACCAGATTCCCAGATGTTGCTGGTGCTTAGTCCTGTGATATTTTTAGAACCAGTCTTAGAGGAATTTGGCTCTTGTTATTTTTTTACTGCAGTTCAACTTAACGGTAGTTTGGTGGGGAGGAATGCTATCACTCCACTGACTAAAAAAGCTGAAACCAGGACCGGAATAACCACTTTTTTCAGTCTATTTCAAAGATTCAGGAGTCCTGGTGTGGCGCTGCAGGATAAGCACTGGGCTGCAAGGTCAGTTTGAACTGCAAAGTAGGCCAGCACTTAACAACAATTTCAAAGAGTGAGGAAATAAAAGTACTTAAGGGTCACGTGACTTGCCCAGGATCGCTCTAGACCAGCGAGAACCATCTGTTTCAGCTGCCCTCACCAAGTCCTGATGTGACGCTGTGGATTAATGCGCCATTGCAGTTTGAACTACAAGGTCGGCGGTTCAAGCTCACCAGCTGCTCCTCAGAAACCCTATACAGGGTCCCTATGGGTCAGAATTGACTCGATAGCACTTAACAACACCACTCAGGTCAACATGCCCGAGCTTTACTCCTCCATTTAACATTGCTTAATCCAGGTGTGGCGCTGTAAAATAAGCACTGGACTGCGAACCTAATAGTCGGCGGTTCAAACCTACCAAAGGTCGCTAAGAGTCAGATTTGACTCACGGCATTTATCAACAACAAACTATTATTCATTATCCTTTCTCTCCGCCTCTGGCCTACCCCTCCCCCCACTCTCCTGCGGCTGCGCAGACCACGTGCTCCAGGCGTTCAAAACTCACCGGATGCAGTCCTTTGCGACGCAGCTCGTACTGCGCAGGCGCGAGGCAGTGAGCTCACCGGCATGGCCCTTGTCAACCCTGTGGTAAGGACGAGCCTGGCCTCTGGCCTGTGTACTGTTTAGAGGGAGCAGACAGGGCTGGATTTATGAATCTAGGCAGCCGAGCCCGGCACACCCCTTTCTTTACCCTGAACCCTCACAGACTTTCACAAAGCTTACCTTCCTCATCACTGTGTTGGATACAGCCAATAAGGGCCAGGGAACCAAAAGCTGGGCCTGGCCGGACCAGAAGAGCAAGTGTTCTCCTTCTCACATCTTACCCTAATTGAGGGAGTCCCTGAGTGGTGTTGTGGAGCACACTTGGGGTCTCCCGATTCAATGGCAACAGCAATAGGTTGGGGTACTTTGTAGGTGAGCCAGGTGGAATTCATCCTTTGTTGTTGAGTGCCGTTGAGTCGGTTCCCACATATAACGACCCTGTGTAGAGTTTCCGAGGAGCGGCTGGTGAGCTTGAGCAGCTGACCTTACAGTTCAAACTGATCTTGCAGTCTAGTTTATTAGCTCACTGCGCCATGCCCGGACTCGGAATTCACCCTTAACCTTTCCAATTTAGGAGTCTAGAAAAGTTCCCAATTGTCCTTTAATTCTCACTTTAGTGTGAGTATTGTTAACTCTAAGCCATGTTGTTTACTAACATGAAATACCAGATAATATGATTCTTCATGTTACTCAGCCAAATCTTCTGTGTGTCTCCCCACAAGCCCCCATCGTAAGCATCTTTAATGCTTAGGTGTACAGTTTAAATTTTAAAACAAAACATCTTTTACACAACGGCTGCTTAAACTTCACAGTGAGTATATATGGGCTATGTGGTACTTTAAGACCCTTCATCAATCTTAAAAACCTGAATTGAAAGGAAGAAAAAAAAAAGATTCATCCTTGTTTTCAGTTCATCTCAACAAATTTCACAATTTATGAAAGGCAGTGTGTTTATATGTTCTGTGTAATGTACGCATTTGCCAGCCTAAAAGACATTATTCTAATGTGTATCTAACTGTGATGAATTTGCTTTAAGATATGTAGAATACTTCTGCTGCTGCTGCTGCCTGGAGTTGGTTCTGACTCCTAGTGACTCTGTAAAGCGTTTTCGAGGCTATGAATCTTGAGCCTGTAAATCCGCTGAAAGCTTCATCTGCTGGTGGATCTGAACTCTCGAACTGCTGACCTTGAGGTTAGCAGCCTAAAGCATAATCCAGCTCACTACCTTGAATATAAATTGACCATGCATACCATTTTACCTGATGGTGAACTCCTAGAAGGGATGTGTGTATTCTGTCTTTTTGGGTGCGCGTGTTTTCTTTTAACAAAGAAGGGTTAAAATAGATTTCTTGAACTATATATACAAAGATACCAGACAGGGAAAGCAATATAAAGTCTTAACTGTTGCCCCAAAAGAGAAAGTTATGTTCAATACTTATTTTGCGTTGAAAAAAAAAAAAAAAATTGTTCTAATGGTTTGTTTTTTGATTGCTGCTATCATGCGCTTCCAGGGAACTCTGGTAGTGTAGTGATTACGAATCGGGCTGCGAACCGCAAGGTCAACAGTTCGAAATTACCAGCTGCTCCGCGGGAGAAAGATGAGGCTTTCTGCTCCCGTAAAGATTTACTGCCTCGGAAACCCTGTTCAGGGTCGCTATGGGTCGGAACCGACTCCACGGCACTTAACAACAACAACAACATCATGCGCTTCCAGTTGTGGTGCTGTGGGTTAATATGCCAGACTGCAAAGCCGTTTGCACCGCAAGGTCGGCGGTTCAAGCACACCAGCTGCTCCTTGGAAACCCTATACAGGGTTGCGATGGGTCAGAACCAACTCTGTGGCACTTAACAACAACAACAGCATGCTTTGCGGGAGAAAGATGTGGTAGTCTGCCTTGCAAAACCTATAGGGAAATTCTTCTCTGTGTTACAGGTTTTTGCTTTGAGTAGGAATTGATTTGACTGCAGTGGGTTTGGGTTAGCTCAGAGGGCAGGTCTTAATGATGTTTTCAGCCCTAGGAGTTCTAATTTTAAATGCCGTCACACTAGTTGGGGCTAATCCTGGAACAGCGATTTAGTAAACCTTTAAAAGGGGAAGTTGTTACAGAACTAGCAGCTAATCCAGGGACACTTAATCCTAATTGATATGTTTCTAAATACCTTATTTAAATTTACTGATTAGCCTATTCATAGGGTTACCCTGCATCTTTAGAAAGCTTAGTTTTAAACCTGACCAAGCTCTGGTAGCGTAGTGGTTACAAGTCAGGCTGTCAACCTCAAGGTCAGCTGTTCGAAATTACCAGCTGTTCCACAGGAGAAAGATGAGGCTTTCTGCTCCCGTAAAGATTTACAGCCTCGGAAACCCTGTACAGGGTCGCTATGA